GCAAGCCTGTGTGGTGACCATTGGGGGGGGGTGGCCAAAATGACGTTTCGCTGACAATCAAGAAATAGATATATTATAAAATACACACCCCCCATCCTCTCCCTCCCACACATCCGCGCGTCCCTCCTTCCCGGTCACCCCCCCAACCCCCCCCCGCCGCATCCTAACTGCTACCCCCTACCTCTTGACCATCCATTCTCGCAATCCACCACACACCCTCTCATCCCCCTACGGCACCCATGGCCCCCGCAACACACCCCACTACCCACACCCAAAATTCCCCAAAACCTTAATTTAACCCCCACCAACTTTAAGCTCCTACCTCCTGGCCCCCCCCCCCCACACCCCCCCCCCCCCCACACCCCCGCACCCCCCGTTCCACCCAACACCTCCCGTTCTGCCCCACCCCCCCCCCCCCCCCCCCCCCCCCCCCCACCCCCCCCCCCCCTATTGTTTCCAACTGCCCCCCCCCTCCCCCGCCCCCCCACCCCCCCCCCCCCCCCCCCCCCCCCCCCCCCCCCCCCCCCCCCCCCCCCCCCCCCCCCCCCCCCCCCCCCCCCCCGGGGGGGGGTGTGAATTTTTTGGAACCACTCTAGTTTACTTTGCTGGTGAATTTTTGAAGTCTCTCGTTACAAATGATTGGAGCTGAGCCGGCTGACGCTTGGATGCGCTGATGCACATTTTTTTTCTTTGGCCCATTAGGTGAGAAAGGCGGAGTTAGGCGTGACTCTGTACGTTAATTTTACGTCTATGGTGGGGTATGGCGCTGCGCGTCAGTTCTGGATTGAGCTCCACATGTAAACTGGGATCATTGCGGTTAAAACCTTTGCCTAAAACTACAGGGATCAGGGTTAATCGTGTTATTATTTCACGGGAAGGATAACAGGCTGGGTGTTTAGAGAGACTGCCAATGAATATATTTATTCAAACTTTCTCTGTACTGTGGAAGCTGCATGATATACTTTTGCAGATGTATCTGAAAGTGTTTCTGTACATAAAGTAGGTTTTTCTTCCAAGTAACATATTTCCATGAAAAATACAGCAAGAGGAGGTTTGGTGAGATCAGGTACTTCCTTGTTTAAGGACTCTATCACATTTTCCAGTGCTAATAAAAGCAGCAACAATTCTAAAAAATGTTTCTATTTGTAACTTTTGATTTTTGGAGGTGGATTCTTGAAGTGTCCCTAACGTTGATATTTGTGCATGGATGTTGGTGAATGTTGAGTGTACCGGATTTTCACCACTGTCCTTTATGTTAGAACCCAGACCACGTGGCACAGACCTTCTGTCATAGCAAGGAACAAACTTCTCAACCCAGTGGGGAAATGGTGAGAATCCTCAGGGGAGGGCCTACATTGAAAGATGGATCTGCTCCACGGGCAGGGACTGGGTCTATAGATCCAGTGTTGCAAGCTTGGCGACTTTGATCGCTAAGATTTGCGACTTTTAACGGACCCCATAGAGACTGTTTTCAAAAATGCGTACTGCGACAAATCTAGCGACTTTTTTTGGTGTGATTGGCGACACTTATCTGAGTGTTGGTTTTGGAGACTCGGTGAGCACGTATTGTATATGCTGTCCTCACGGGAGCACTTCCCCCGTCCCAAAGCACTTTACAGGCGGCCAGGCTCCACAGTAGCCTTGAGCATTGCAGTCATTTTGCTACAGTCTATGGGCGGAGCATTGAGAGGAGTTGAGGAGACCCTGTCTCAATAGCACCATGGAAGTTTTCAGGCTGATGCAGACTGAACTTATGCTTCTCCTACCCTCCACAAATCCTAATGCCCAGGCCACTCTACCACCGCCACCCCCCCTCTACCCCACCACTCCATCCGCGGCAGCTCTGGTCCGGTATCTGGGTTTCTCTCAGTTGTGGGTAACTTCATTTGTTCTGCCAATCTATGTAAAAAAAAAAAACTTACAAAAAATAAACTAAGTTAACTCTGCAAGTGTGTGTCTTTTGGGTCACTTTGCCGGTCCCAAGCCCGGATAAAGGAGGAGGGTTGGTTGTAGAGCTAGCAATTTCACCCTACATAACATCTTTTGATTACATTGCTGTTATTAAATTTTAACAAACTGGACAAATGATGTGTGTTAAGGTGGATCTCAGACAAGCATTTAATATCATTAATGTTTTAAGTTGAAATGATTTTTGTACATTTGTTGTTCTAATCATATATTTAGGGTGTTTTTACTCACTTTTGTCTCCCCACGACCATTATTACTATCCTCCTACAGCAGTACGTTACAGTTATTTGCAAATGGCTAATATGCAATATTAGGCGTTGTGTTCATTTAGCGAGTTCTAGGACCTTTTGGGACATGCAAAGCTACTTTCCTTATGAGGTGTTGGCAAACATGTATAGATCCAGGACTCACGCAAACAACAGGTCAGAAAATCAAAATGCATAGATATGTCCAACAAATTAGATAACATTTGTCTATGTGTGGGGTGACCAATGTGGGCCAGCGGGCCAAAGTTGGCCCGCCAGACCATTTCAGTTGGCCCGCCAAACATTTGCCACCTCTAGTGATGTGCTGTGCGGACCGAGTACTTCGGAAGTGTGGACCGTGTAATCTGGGGGGTTTTCTTGTAAGGTGTGGGTTCGACGGCGATGTTTTGGTCACGTGTGTGGTGACGTTCGTAAGCCTCGCGTTGCTGGGCGCACACGTGACGGTTCATATAGTGCTTCTATAGTTCGGTGTTGTGCATTGCTTTGACAGGTGCTTGTGATCCGCGCTGTAACTCCATATGGGAACTGTATGGACTGTCCCGCGTCGCATACTGTTGTGCGTATGTGTGTGTGGCATGCGTACGTGTGTGTGCGTGATGTGGTGCAGTCCCTTGTTACTATGTTATTGAGAGAACTACTTCATATGAAATACTATTTATAAAACGTTTCACTTAGTTTAACTCTATCTCTTCTTTAATGTCCAAGAATAGGAGAGTTAATTGGAAATGTTGCTTTCTTGTGGTGCGGGCGCCTCGTGAATGGATAAAAACTTCTGCTTACATTCGGTCCATAACATACTTTTCCTCGTTTCCGAACAGCTCTGTTGAATCATCTAAGAACATTTGTATTTGTTTTTGTAAATTCTCACATATAATAGTTTAATGAGTTATTTGTATCCAAATTATTTATGTATACGTGTATGGTATACATAAATATGGTATCTATTTATATGTGTATGTTCTTATGGTGCGTTCAGACCAAACGCGATTTCTGCGGCCAAAGCGGCGGGTCTACATTGACACAACATGGGGGACGCGCGCCAAGGAGCGGCGAGAGATCACGCGGCGCGATTCGCGCGGCCAGAGCGGCGCGAATTCGAGCGTTTCGCGCGATTCGCGCGGCGTGTTTTGAGATGTCAAGCGTTTTGACGCGCGTTTCGCGCGATTCGTGCCTCCAACGCGGCCGCCGCTAGAGTTGAACAATGTTGAACTTTTTGGGAGAATTCGCGTGTGCCGACCAATCAGGAGCTTTCTCCTCCAGTGACGTAGTGACGCATTTCACTACCGGAAAAACACTGGTAGATGACAGCTATGGAGGACACGTCAATTGCTCAGGTCGGTGCTCATTCTGAGCTATATAACACTGCGGACCACAGCTACCGGGACCGAAATAAAAAGGAGCTTGCTTGGAGGAGGGTTAGCGAGGTGGTTGGTGTCTCGGGTAAGTTATTTTAACTTTTCACTGTTGTAAATATTTCCCCGCGAAAAAAACTACTACTTTCCTGCTTACGAGTTGATGTGTTTATTCAGTGGAAGTTTGCAAAAAGCGGTGGAAGAATCTGAGGGACACATATGAGGTGCTGAAGGTCGGTGTCATGCAGCAAACGGAGACCTCGAACAGTTGGAAAAAATACATTTCTTTCCTTTCTATTACCCACATTTTGCTGACTTTTACATTTATATTGCTTTCTGTGTATGCATTTCTTTTAATGCTTTCTTAACATCATGGCCAGGTGAAAATAGGCATTGGCTATTTTCAAACCAGGATAGATCTTGATCATGTGTTGTGTTAAATTTCACTTTTCCCTTTTATATGAACAAATCATTTAAATGTACATAATAATGTACATTATTATGTACATATAAATGTCATAAGCGCAATGTACACATGATATGAAATAATTGTATTTCTTGTTTTCTTCTGGCGCAGATACTGCCACCACCACACAAGGTGAGACATCTTGGCCTGAGCTGCCTGCTGCTGCTGCTGCTTCCTCAGCCGGTTCTTCTTCTGTGAGGGCTGGACCTTCCCCTGCTTCTGCACCTACAGGTGTGGCTTTTTTTAATCATTGTTTTATTTTTATTCTTATTACAGGACTGTTCATATAAACAAAATGTTACTGCATAATATGCCAAAATTACCCAAGGGCTGTTACATCAGTGTAGACGACAAATTTACAGAGAAACGACAAGATGTCAAGGCACTACAGGTGGAAAGAAGCTTTGGTCTGATACAACACATCTTCCCTCTTTCTTTGATAAAAACATACTACTGAAATACCTTATGCTATAAAAGTACTGAACAAATACATGCAATGGTTGCCACAAGATGGCAGCTATCCTGTTTAATGCAGACAATAGAGTATTACTTTTTTTACAGCCAATTTCAAATTTCATTGCGAAATACACTTCAGAGATATTAGTTTGTAACTGTCGAAATTTGTGCTTGTGTGAGTAATTTCATTGATAACTGCAATGTTCAAGTTAATTGTAACAAACACACAACTTAAAAGTGTTTTACATGTGTTTAACTATGTCTACACACTCTGGCTTTAATACAGATATTATTTGCTCTCTTCATTTTGCTTTTTTGAAATACATGTTCCACTTTTTAACACTGTGATTGCCCTGTGTTCTTTGTTGGCGGCTCTACGGACGTGGGCCTCTTCCGAGCCCTCTTCCTTGGTGGGCCTTCAGAGTGGGAGCGGGAGCTGCTGGAGACTCTACGGACCAAAGCAGCCGGACCGCCCGACTACTCAGAAGAACATCAGTTCCTGCTCTCTCTCTTTCCTCTCCTGCAAAGGGTGGCACCAGAGTCAAAAGAATTTGTGAAATTCAAAATGTACCAACTTTTATATGAAAGCAGCACCGTTCTGCTTAATTTGGAACCATTGGCCAGTACAGTTTTTTTTACCTAAGGTGACACCTTTTGCAGGGGAGGAAACAGACATGTGTCCCTTTCCTCTTCCACCGCACCTCCTCCAAGCAAGCTCCTTTTCATTTGTTTATATGTACATTTCATTTATTTTTCATTGTTTGTTCCTTTTTTTATAAAGAAAATATTTTTCAAACCTCATGTGTTCTACTTCAAGCCAACCATTACTACCTTTCATATAATATTGACAGAAAATGCTATTCTATATTTGTACATTTACTTTTATAAGAGCTGACTGGGTTTTATAGAAGATGGAATAACAAACACTTAAAGAGCGATACAGTAGTTGACAGTATTTTTTATTCATTTCACCGTTTACTGTTTTAACAACCTTGTAATTACGGAAAAGCTTGAATGTGCATATGATTAACCTGAAGTTGGAGTGGAGTCGCAGTGGAGTCTGGCAGTCATTACCTAGAAACAGAAGGTATACAGGTGAATAGAATAGTGCAAATCAATATGGGTTTGGACTATGGCCAGATGTGGGTCAGTCTTGTGGTGGACATGACTACTCTGTGGGCTGCCACGGCAGTGCTCCCTCCTCACTGAAGTGGGCCATGAACACTTTCCTTATGTCCACTGCTGGCTTCCAGGCGGCCATCCGCTGCACGCCTGGAAGTGGTTCTTCACCGGCAGCAGCTCCCCTCGGTGCAGGAACCTGCCCATCTCCAGCCATCCTCATGGCTGGAGATGGGCAGGGCGCATTAAATTGCAGCGCAGTGAAAAGGCCTCATCTGCCACGAACACATGGGGCTGGGGTCCTCTGTGGTCAGCTCCAGGTATGCACTGGTCAGGAGGCAGGTCGAGTGTGCCCTCGCGCAGAGCCTCACCAAAGGCAGAGTTGGACACGATGCCTCCATCGCTGGATCTGCCGTACCCTCCCACATCAATCACCCTGAACCTGTACTGGGCATCCACTACAGCCAGGAGCACAAGGGAATGGTGCCCCTTATAATTAAAAAACATGGACCCAGAGTTGGGGGGTGCCTTCACAGCCACATGCTTCCCATCAATGGCCCCACAGCACAGAGGGAAGTTCCATCGGACCTCCACTCCTCTGCTCCAGGCACAGCCATGAACTCCTCCACGAGGCAGTCCCAGATGGCTGCCACCACATCTGGGATGAGCATGGAGACGGTGGATATGCCTGCTCTGAAGCTCCCCGCAATGGTCCTGTAGGAGTCCCCAGTGGCAAGAAACCTGCAATTACAAAATGATATGAACATATTTATCACAATTACATTCATAAAAATCACGTGACAAAACTTGTGTAGCATAAAATACGTTAAACTAGTAGACAGTAAACATCATAGACAGTAATCATAGACACCAAATTGTTGCATAATACTGTTTTCTGAGCAATTACATTGTGGATTGTGATTGAAAAATGACACACTTTGTAAGTATTTTGGAATTCCGAATGGGGTAAAAAACACTAACCACAGACAGATGGACAGGCGCTCTTCAGCTGGAATAGAGTTGGTGTCCTGGTAGGAGATCCTAGCGCCAATGCGGGTCAGTAGGTCGTCAAACTGGGCCAGGGAGAGACGAAAGTACCGCTGAAAGCGACCCTCATCCGAGCGCAGCTCCCGGAGCAAATGGTGAAACTCACCAAACTCCAACCGTCTACGGACTATCTGATGAATCCAGACACGTCGTCGATTCGCCCTTTGACGACGTGTCTGGCTTTATTTATCAGATAAAGCAACTCCTTCGCTGACATCCATGTTGGGAAGCTACAGGCAAAAGAGACAAGCCCCGCCCCTAAACGCTCTCAACGCTCTGTGACAGCGGCTGCCCTCTAGTGTCCTGGCCGCGCGGCCAAGTTTCTCTGTGACAGCGGCTGCCACAATTTGTCACAAGCGGCTCAAGCCGCGCGATAGACGCGATTTGGCCGCAGAAATCGCGTTTGGTCTGAACGCACCATTAGTATTTTGCATGTTCCCCTCTTTTGCCTCCTGCTCTCTCTTTGCCAGCCCTCACATCCGGGTCACTTTGGTTGTACGCGAGCTCTATGTTCAAGTGATTTTGCTTTTATCAGTCTGCGGTATAAATATTACTTTAAAAAGATGATATAGCCAACTTTTTGCATTAATGCGCCAATGTATTTAACTACCTAGCTATCAAACAACATTTTAGCTGTAACGTTTTCCTTTTAGAGATAAGTCTTTCTCGTGATTAGATATTCCGAGCTGCACTTGAACGCAGCACATGTCGGGGAGTAGAAAGACAGACCATGATCCAGCTGCTGCGCCTGAGTGTTGCCTCCTCTGACTCTACACAACTTTAGCGCAGACTAACCGCGCTCAAACTTTACTCATGTATATCTCCCTCGTCTGAGCCATGTCCAAGAGCCTGAAAAAGAGGAAAAACCACTGGACCAACAAAGTCCATGAGAGTTTTCTTTGTAGGGCTGAGGAGGGCGACCTGGGGCTGGAGCTGACTGGCGGCGCGGAGAGAGGACAGTTCCCCGTGATTGGCGAGCCTCTCCCGGACTCTCGACTCTGCCACAGCGGTAAGCTCCTCCAGGATGAGCTGCTTCTGGAAGTCAATGACACCCCCGTGGCCGGACTGACCACCAGAGACGTCCATGCGGTTGTCCAGCATTGTAAAGACCCGGTCCGACTTAAATGCGTCAAACAAGGTAAGAGGCTTTCCCTAGAAAAAACTTTGACAAACTGCGTGGGACTTTGGATGTTGTGGCGCGTTTTTGTTTTCAAATATGGGCATTTCTACACTACACACCGATGCTTTCTTGCAGTTGTCTGTAATTTTATTTTGCCTTTCTGCTTTTCGTGCATTTTCAGAATCAGAATCATCAGAATCATTTTGCAACTTCTCCACCGTTACGTATGTCCATGAGTTTAAGGGGGTGTGTTTACTTGTGTTTACTTTCATGACATTATCAGGTTTTGGGGACGATTTTTGTGGTTTTTCATGGTTAGGCAAGTTTATTTGTATTGCACAATTCATACACAAGGCAGCTTAAAGTGCTGAACAGAATAATATAGAAATAAAAATCACATTAAAGGCAATAAAAGCATGTGGTTAATCAGAGTACATCAAAAAGAGTGGTTGAGACATACATTCCAAATAACTTTTATTATGAAATTGTTTTTATTACTTATTTGTATTATTATTTTATTGTAATTATGAAGCATTTACAACTAGTTAATAAGCATTCACAGCTACTTATCTCTGTATATTTTGTGTGCTCAGTGTGTGCTCCTTGTATGCTTTTACTACTGTCCTGTATGTGCGCTGCAACACTGAAATGTCCTCACTGTGGGACGATTAAAGGCTCAGGGGCCATGCTCAAGCGCTGGCTGCATTAAAAAGTGCAGAGACAAAACATGATCTGACATTTATGTTTGTATATCAAAAGCAGTCCCTTGTCTTCCAGTTCCATATCCACACAATTTGCAATGTTTTGATTACGTGCCTAGAATATATTATGTGAGTGTGAATGCTAGTGGTGTCTTTAAGAGTTGATAAAAGCGTGTGTTATGATGAGTTGAGGTCACACTCGCATCCAGAGAACCGTGGAGAGTGTGCAGGTGGTGTTGGCGGTGAGACAGCTTTATTCAAAAGACGGCGTATTATTGTGGTATTGGATTTTTCATGAAACATCCTATTCATCAGGATTTTCTCATGTCGCTCAAAACATTGAACTGAGAAAGCATTCGTTTGTAGTCTATATGAAAGAATATGGTCACTTGTATAACTTAGTAATAAACACATATAAACGCAACAACAACATCAGCAGAATTTGTTAATACGCAAAGATGGAATGAAGAAGTTTGACTCCAAGTATCTTTGACCATTCAAATAGGGATGTAAATCGGTGACCGTTTAACCGGTGGTTGACCGTCACAGCGTTAACCGGTCAAAGCTGTCGGTTAAAAAAGAGAAAAGGGGGAGAGGGGAAGTCTCTTCATTACGCTATTTTAAGCCCTATTTGCACGATGTGACGAGCGGGTCCCTATCTAGCTGTGTGCGCCAATGTAACAGTAAACTCTGGGCTGACTCTCACGCCGTACGCGCCACATATGCACGCACACATGTACACGCACACACACACACACACATTTCCCCCCCCTCCATTGACACGTAACATCCACACGCATCATCTCTCCCCTCTGTTACCGCCTGCTAGTTGCACACTGGTGCGGGTCAGAACTACATTGGAGCTTATCTTTACACACACATACATACATGTATTGCACACACACACACATACATATACACACACACAGACATATACACACATACATACATGTATTGTACACACACACATACCGGTTTGTCGCGCTCCTCTGTGTCACGGAGCCCAAAGCATTCTTGCAAATACACGGCTCCAGTCAAACCACATGGGCCATGTTTGTGCTGCTGGTCCTTGGCATCAGCTCCACACTGATCACTTTTAAACTTTAGCGGAGACCTGCGAGACGCGGCTCGTCACTCGCTGCCCTGACCATGTGGACGAGCTGTCTTTTGCTTAAAAATGCTTTAAGCCGCAGCACAGAAGAATGGGAAGATTAAAACAGCAGTTCTCTGTGCGCAAAGGTGCCGAAGCTGTTGCGGGTTTTGGTGCCGCTGTCTCGGCTCTGATCCCGTAGAACGCTCAGCTGCACTTATGAAAAGTACGCGGCTCGAAATGGCTGTTATTTCAAAGAACGTGGACTATTTTAAACTACGCGGTTAACCGGTTTCAACCGGTTAATGAGGCTCGGTGGTCGGTCATGAAAATTCATAGTTTTTTACATCCCTACATTCAAACAGGCAAGAAGTGGATACAAAAAAGCACTGTATTGTTATTGTTCTCTGTCTCTCATATGTAAATCTCACACTTAATTATAGAATGAGGATTGAGGTGTCGGTGATCTTGCAATATACAGACAGATTGTAAAGTACTTTTCCATTTACCCTGAGTCATGCCACATATTTTGAAATGATGAAGTTTTGCAAAATGTATCTTAATTTGAGCACAAATTTATCTAAAAGCAAATTTATCTTGTTTTAAAAATATACAAGAAATGTCTCCCTGGTAATGAGAACATAAAGTAACAGCTCTTGAAATAAAACTAAATGGCTTGTCCCATTGGTAAATCTGTTTTTTAAGACAGTCAGAATGTACTCAAACTAAGATAAAAAACACTCAATTCATGCAATTATTACCTCATTTTTATAATTTTATATATACTGTATTTTATATATTTTTATATTTTATTTATTTCTCTCTTGAACTTGAAAATGGCTTTATATTCCTTTTCATAAAAAATAGGTTGCTCATATCTTTGCAGCTGGAGCATGACAGCCCCTTCTGAGTCATAAGCGTGTTGTGCAGTAGAGCTCTGACTGGAGGAGCAGGGTCAGTCAATGTATGGGGAAAGACCTGGTGCAACATACAGAAAGTGAAACCTGCAGAGCCGCTACACAAGTTACATCACACATGACGCTAAAAGCATAATTTCTGCTCAGTCCGTTGTTGTGGCTGTCACGTCTCCTACCGCCACAGTTAGAGCCTGCCCTTATAGAGGTGTGCTGTATGGAAGTGTGTTGGCTGGTGCAGGTAAGAGCCGACATATCCAGGTCAGTCCACCGCATCTGTGTGTGCTGGATGGCCACTTAGAGTTTGAGAAAGTCATTACACCAGGCAGATCGCAGGGAGCTTTGGCCTGGCTCAAAGTGATTGCACTACACCTTTGCTTTTAAAAGGTGATTTTTTTTGTTAAAAGCAGAGTTCCAAAAACAGCAATACAGTTAGCTACCAGCATAATCCTTCAAAAACCTTTTGTCATAAAATAATAATAATACCCTTTCTATTGAAATGCAAATGTCTTGTAAAAGATGACAGGGTTCTATTTTTGGAGGGGAAAAAATAGTTTTAGAGAAGAGCCACTGTGAAAGAAGATCTTGTAGATAACTGCATGGATCAGTGATGATCTACTTTGAGGTACAGTTGTACTTCATGTTTCTGATTTACTATAATGTTTAAACATATACTATATTTGATCAAACACACTTTTTAACATTGGAGTTGATCTTGTTTTATGTCCTCTCACTCTCATTCCTTCTTAATATTTACCCATGCTGTGGAACTGAGCACCTCGACTCACAACATTGCCAGTTAAATGTTGTTGGGAGTAAATTTAATTCATAGTCAGAATCCGTAGCGAGAGCTACTGTTGCTTTTTTCAGGGAAAATAGAGTGGAAACCTAAATTGACTAGTTATTGGATTAGTATCAGGTTCTAGTCTTGTCAAAATTTACTGAGAGTAAATGACAGATTAGATGACAGTGCTTATGACAGCGGGTCAATCCCCCATTTTCTCTTAATAGAATGAGTGATGTGCAGCCTGATGACAGTGGAGCGGTCAGTGTTAGACGTTGCAAGTGTTGCTAGAATATTGTTGTTGAGTCAGACAGTGTGTTGCCACGTGGGAATGCTCTAATGTTTCCTCAGTCTGCTACTTGTCAAGGCCCCATTGAGAGCTTTTGAAAACTGGCCATTTCAGCGTAGTAAGTGTGTCCTACCCAGATTGTAGTGTAGAGGTAGGGCAAAGCTTGTGTCTGAATCTGTATTATCTGGTTTATATATTATCTGGTTTATGTCCCTGCACCACTTACCACATGCTACCGTCCACTGAAGCCTGACAGGGGCTTCGCGGAGACACCCTGCTGTTGTGTTACTCCGTCTGTTTGCCAGGCTCACCTCCAAGGATAGGTAATGATGGAGTGTATACACGTGTAGTGAAACACACACACGCACACTTACACCTAAACCACACATTACCTGAGCTCCAGTTGATTTTTGTTTACGTTTCATTGTTTACATTACAATGCGACAGTGGCCCAGTTGGTAGAGCATTGGCCTTTGAGCCTGAAGCTCCCACTGAAAGATCTCAGCTCCTGTGGACTCACCACCTGCAGTAGGATCAGTGAGGGGCTGGTGCTATGTGTACTGGGTGCAGCTCTGACAATCCACAGTGCCTTTCTCAGTGAGAAAAGTAAACCTGACCCCTATCAACATAAGTATAGTGTTGTTTGTCATTCTAGTGCGAGACCTTTGCGTGTCTTTGTTGTTGATATACAAGAGCTCTCAATGACTCTACAATCACTTCTGACCTGAAGATAAGCGGAGTCTTCTGAGACAGAAAAATTGGAAGTTGTCATCTGCAGTATGTTTTGTGCATGTTAAGCGTTATGCACTTTTATCGAAGAGACTCATCTTCAACTCATAGAAATGGTTTAGATCCTGCAGCCGGGAAAATCAACCGTAAACACCACATTGTGGCTGTAAAGCTGCACTGAATCTCTAAACAGCTCTCCATTGTCCTGCAGCCTGTAAAAATGGGAAGCAGCACCCAGTGGAAAGCTTATGGCATTTTTCTCAAGGCAGATAGCAGAAGTTTGTTTCTTAGGTTGGGAGATTTTTTTTTTTTTTACACACCATGCCTGCCAATAGTATGAATATAGATGAAATATAAATGGAATATTTCAGAGGAACAGCACAGGGAGGATGAAATTGGCTGACCTGCTCACAGACAGAAGCCAATATTAAGGAAACCCCCTCAGCTCACACTGGTTGTGCTGATTCTCCAAAA